TATATATATATAATTATTATTATCTCAGATTAAAGTGTTTTAATCTGAGAGTTGTGTACACTGGAAGATTTGTGCAGAACCAATCAGTATGATTAAATACAAGACAAAAAACGTGCTATAAAAAACTGTAAATAGCGGAGTTATGGTTGAAGTGCCACCCAGTTTAGCAGAAGGTATTAAAAAGACAGAAATAGTCAGTTTGGAGTGGAGCCATTAGCCTCCTCTCAGAGGAACACCGCCACAGTAAACAGTCTGTATGTAGCTGTGGAGCCTCGTCCACCCGTCCAGCCTTCAGATACCTGAGAAGAGGGAGGCGAGTGACAGGGAGAGGCCGTTCTGAGACACCGCCAGCAGGGACTGACCCTCACAGCCATCTGAGAGACAGAAACTAACACTCAGCACAACCGTCACCACAAGCACAAACATTTTCAACACTCCACAGAGCTGTGTGTCAGTGTCACAGGCAAACAGTACAGTATACTGCACCGATACAGTACATGTGGAAGTCATGCAGTTATACAGCCCCAAGATACAACACACTTTGTGTGCTCACACCGCAGTACTGAGAATTGCAGTTATACACAAACACAGTTAAATACAAAGTACATGCACATTTGAAAACCCATAACCCATGTTAATAGTATCAAAGCAATACAGGTTCGGATATATTTTTATGTTAGTGACTATTAGTCTCTTGTGTTACCATTTGTCACACAAAACAGAAATTGACATCTATTCAATAAAAATGTCTCAACAGGACTTAGTGAACACTGCCTGGAACATACCAGAAGCTTTTCCAGATCAAACAACCCTTATCAGGACCATATAAATCCTTCATTTGCCAACTCACATGACTGTAAGGTCTGTATAAATACTAAAGCCAATAAAACCATTTCACTAACACTACAGACTACCATTCTGTGACTTTTGTACTCAGGCCTCCATGTTTACGGTCCATGGTAAAGCACGACATGCTTGGTGGGCAACATGAAGCAAGTGTGGTAATGAGGTTATGAATTATGACCAGAACAGAAACAGACTCATTCACACAGACAAGTGATAAATCTTCAGAGGCTTCCCTCATTCCCTCTCTCTACCTTGTAGTTCGCACTCCTCCACTTCCTCAGCTGAGCCGGAGTCAGACAGGCCCTGGCAGGAGTCCTGGGAGCTCCTCCTGGAGCCACCGCTGTCAGTGGAGGGGAAAACTGCAGAGGAGGAATGAGACGAGGGACTGAAATCAACTGTAGCAAATGCCACATTGATGCAGTGAGGTTAGTCTACTGAGGTAGCTGAAAGACTTGAGACCCAAATTGGTGAAATACATGACATGGATTGTCTTAACTAATGGACCCTACAATATATTAATGGACATGGCTAAAAGCACACATACCAAACTGAAATCACAGCAAACCTGGCACCACAATTTTTGAGTAAGTAGCTCTAATGATCTAGTGATTATTATATCTGAAAATATATTTTTGAAAGTTACTAAGAGTATATTTTCTACTAATGTCTAGTAATTGAAATCACATTTATGTATTTGTAAATAATCAACTAATAATTTCTTAGTCAATGAATCATATAAAGAAATGACTTCATGTATCCACACAGCTGACTACTGCCAACGTTGCCTTACTGTGCTGGGAGGCTGCGCAGGGCGGCAGACGGCTGCGTCGGATCTGTTGCCTACGCAGGCGGATCTTCTGTTTGAGCTGCTGAATCTCACAGTCACTGTCTCCCTCCTCCTCGCCTTCCTCCTCCTGACGCCGCAGGTTGTACTTCATCAGCTCGATGGCAGCAATAAGGGACTCGGAAATGCTGAAATGAGCGTTCTCCTACAGAAGACAGGGAAAATATGAATCAAGCAGAAACTAAGCCTAACTTTTAAGTCATCCAACATAATAAGTTCAATTTGTACTTTTTCGAAAGCTTTTATTATCACAGCTTTTGCAGAATTTAATAAAAGTTCTTTTAAATATAAATTTGCATATGTAAAGCTTTTTGAACTGCAACACTTTGTTTGTAGAGTAGAGTTCTAAGTAGTCAAAAGACTACTTAGAATTAGTCATGAGTTCAAATTGACCAACTCCTGACCTTTTCCAGGTCAGCACAGCTGCCAAAGTCCTGCTCTGACAGGTAGCTGATGAGGCTCTGACCCTCCGACGGCTTCCTGAACATCCCATCTGAAATGCTGCTGCACTGGGACCCATCTGAAGACACAAAAACACAGAAGAATATGTGACACCAATACACAAAACAGAAACAGTAAAGACAAATTGTAATGTTTTCATGTATTAATGCATTATTTAATCTGTTATTTAATCTGTCAAGTCATAGAAACTGAACAAAATAAAATACTCTAAGTAATAAGTTTGCCAAAATCCAACGGCACGCTATTATCTAAACCATAAAGAAGCAGATGCAGTGAGTCAGATAAGCAGAATTTCACTATGAATACTGTGTCCAATAAAACATCAACCTTTTCTATGACCTTCCTGCTCAGGTCCAGAGTGTCACATTTATGGATCAGCTGACACACTGGCTACATTCACATTCAGGAACTGAAAAATCATTGAAACACTGTTCACTGAAACATTTCAGCTTTCCTGTCCAACTTCCTCCCATATTTCCTCACATTAACATCTAACAATCCCAGAATAAAAGTTTGATCTACCGTTGCAATAATTTATAAGTACAACAGGATCTACAACATCAATGTAAAAGCAGAAAAGTCCTGCAAAGTAAAAAAATCGGAAAACTCACGAGACTCCATGTAGAGGGAACTGGGGGTGCTGGCATCTCTGTGCTGAGGTGAGAAAGGGCTGTAGTCCTTCATACAGCCGTCCCCTGCCGATTCTGAGGGACAAATAGAGCATGTTAAGGGCCTCTTATCACCTAATTGCCAGAGTCACTAAAATAAACACTTAAATTTTTTAAAATTGATGAACATGCATCATTATTCATACACAAAGCAGGTTAAAGGCTTTTTTTACTTTCTTTGTCTTTGTGTCAAACAATCAATACAATCTATGGAGATGATTCATTTTATTGCATGCAGAAACAAAAACATGACTGCCGACCTTTGTCAGGATTATGACTTGAATTAGGGATGTAGATATTCAGAAGTGATACACATCTATTTATAAATTGGTAGAGTGATCCAAATCTTACTTTTACCCGAGGACTAAGTGTGTATTGCATTACACTGTACATTTGTATTTTATTTACGTACGTACACCCATCAGGGATCATGATCTACACACAGTTTAGATGTAACTTCTATGCTAATTTAAACAAAACACTGAAGAAAAGTCTGTATTAAGAAAAACTACCACAACAACAAAAAAAAAGAGATCAGTCATGGCCTCATCACATCAATTTGACCTCAGTAACAAAAAACTAAAACTGTTTAAACACGAATGTCAAACACCAAAATGTGAGCTGAAGACAAGACTTGAAATGAGAAGGATGGAGCGCGTTCGTCAGCATGCAGGGGGAATAAGAAAACAGGGGTGGGAGGGGGGTCAAATGATGGAGCACAGTGGAACTGTGCTGCCAACCTGCTACCGGATCTTCTATTATTATGGTGATTTTTCGGTGGCCCCCTCCTTTGCGCAAACAGTAGAAAGAGAGAGGGGAAAAAGAGATAGAGCATAAAGAAAGAAAGTTACCTCAAGCCAAGAATAGAGATGTTGATTCGGAAACGTTTAAAACCATCAGACAGGAAGTGAGCACCTTCCGAGAGAGAAAGTGGCCTATCTTACAGAGCTATAAATAAACACAGACTATGTAGGTGCACCCCCAATCGAAATCTCACCTTCATTTTATGCAACATGCAAGAAAAGGAATAATTAACCAGGGATGTTTCCATCACCTGCAGGAAGCTGAAGGCTAAAGTCATTAATTCCCAGACATTATGAAAATGTAAGCCTGTAGACATGCAGCACATTGAGGATTGAGGAAGAAATAAACGCCCTAATAACTGTGAAAAGCTGCAGTTCACCACTATAGTAAATATGATGTATATTTACTTTCATGTAACTGCTCTATGATACCATCCTTACACATCAAGAAGGTAAAACTGGACTAGATGCTCAATCGTATCTGCTGCAGATTGAACATGAATCATACAGCTTTACTGCACAAATACTTGTGCTTCCAAGATATTTAAGATAACTTGTTAGCAGACTTTTTGAGGACTCTCTGATGCTAGAGAAATATTAAGTCTTCAATGAACCTATTTAAAATAATAAATGAATACAGTTGCTTGTCAACCACTTCTTTTTGAATTTTCGTTAGCCCCAGCGATTGTCATACAGCTATCGGCTGCTGTCCAAGTTTACTTACCGTTCCTGAGTTTCTGATTGATGCCCGTGTCAGAAAAAGAGCGCGTGTGTCCTTGGGACCCCCGACCCGGCACCCTCTGACCCTCTGAAAAAGATGAGCGCCTCGGTGGAGGTGGAACCAGGGAACCCTGTTGCAGGGACTGTTGCTGGGTCTCGCCCTGGTCACTGCTGTGGGTGGAGCTTCGAGAATCACGCCGACTGCGTTGCCCCAGGTTACCAATAGCCAGGTACTCCGGACCGTCGTCATACTCGCCGTCACCAGAGTCCCCAGCCTCAGGCTGAACGGAGGTGGGCGAGAGGGACTCTGTGAGTGATATGCAAGGGACAGAGACGGGGCCAGGAGGGGGCGTCACACCCCGCTCACTCTCCCCAGGACTGGACACACACACCCAGGGAGCTCCCACGCTGCTGGCTGGAGAGGTAGTGTCTGCAAAACAATAGATAGGTCAACAATAGAAAGGGCACACACACTTTGCTGAGGGCTTGCTTACAGATCAAAAAGTAACAATAATGTTATAATGTGTTTAGGAAAACCAGTCCAAAACAGTTGTATTAATTTTTGTGTGTACAGCTTGTTCGGGACATTGAGATTTGGAGGATGTATCAACACATTCTTCAATAACTGACCTTGTTTACAAACAATCAGGCCTCTGTATGGTTAAGTCAGTCAGTCTATTCACATCCAAACTGTAGTGCATTCATAGTGCCATCCCCCCACCCCGCCCCTTGTAGCCCTGTATGTACTGACTACAGAATAGTGACCATTTTCTCTTCATTTGATTCATGTATAACCCTAAAATCTTTGACTAGAGACAACATGATGTCTGGTCCACACTGTTTTCAGGGATCTGAAATCATTTTGTGGAAGGACCTTGCAAAATTTCTGTTCAACCACAAATTAACCACAAACCTAGATGTGGCAAAATACTGTAAGAACAAAGTTCCACATTTTAACCCCCATGACCAAAACTGGTTAAGCATTCAGCTGAATAGGAAAACTATACATAAAAGGCATAAAATGAATAAATCCATAAAACCCATTTAAAAACTACATTTGTCCACCCTCCACCCTCTCCTCACTTGTGCTGTTGCTGTTTTGGGACCTGACTCCCATAGTGTTCCCAGAGTTGTGGCTGGTGGCGACTGCTTCTCTGAGGGAGCAGTTGGAGGTGGTGAGTCTGCGATTTAGAGAGTCTCCTCTGAGAGCTGAGTCAGCGCTCCTCCAAGCCCCTCCAGACCCTGGCAACACACACAGGCTCTGGCTCTTCAACAGGCCCAGACACGGTGGGCCCTTCAGAGGGGACAGCTGGGGGGGGACAAGGAAGAGATAAAACAGGTTAAAGTAAAATCTAAAATGCCCCCCTCCCCCCCCCCCTTAAAATTGTGATAACACAGTGACAAAACGAAAAATGGCACGTAATAACACATATAAACATTAACAACAAAATGATAATGGATGAGATATAAATGCAGCAAAGTAGAACGACTTTATTCATAAGACCCACCCCAACGGTGTCTACTTGGGCCAGTAGTTTGGGGTTATTCTGCTCCACAGCTTCCAGACACTGGAACATGGCAGTCACATGAGGCTCACTCAGCAGAAAGGCATCATCTGAAAGGCAAATAAACAAAAAGGGGTTAGAGAAGATAAGATAATGAGAGATATGATAAATGAGTGGGACATGAGTGCAGACACAAAGAGAAAAGTGAAAGAGAGGAGAGAAAGTCAGACAGAAACAGAGAATGAGGGAACTGGGTAACAAAAAAAAAAAAAGTAATTTCAGCTGCTTCTTATTTTATTTTAAACTTCAGACAGCCGTCTTCTGGACCGTTACTGTGAAACTCACCATTATAGTATTTACGCGTATGTCCCAGATGCCGGAGCAAAGGTCGGAGTTGCGCCGACAGCATGTGAACCTGTAAGCTGTGAAGCAGCCAGCGCTCGGCCTTATAGCTTTCACCAGCACTCTTCATCCCGCTGCTGAGCACCGGCTCCAGTTGGCTGAACTGAGGACGGAGAGGGAGCAAGAGAAAGAAAGAAATGTTGTGAAAGCAGGTTGTGAAAAGAAAGGTAGATGGGAAAGAGGTTGACAGCGGTGCAAACAAAAACAAATGTTAGTTATTTGAATATAAACAACAAGAACACTGAAACTAACAAAATGTCACTTTTTCTTTGTCCACATGTTTTTTTTAGTTAAACAGCATGACAGCCACTATCATGGGATCCTGTTTACTCCAGATATATTGCTGCTTGTGTGCAGCCCAATTAAGTATGATGTTCTATCTATTCGTCTAAAAAAACAATGTGTGAACGGTGAATAGGCTTGACAGTCTAAGCAGAGTGAGCAACGCCTGGAATGAGGAGTGAGAAAACAACATATCAGCACAGATCCCGGAGACAGCGGCCCATATATCAACAACCAGTCGTCACATGATGATTACATCATGGCCGAGCTTGCTGTAAGCCCTGTAGGTCAGAAATAGAGAGAGTAATGAAGATAATTAGATTCCATCTACTCCTAAGCCCTTTGTTGTTGCAGTCACAACAATTGAAAGAGGCAACTGGGGTTGAAGGGTGACTGGTCTCCACAACACAAAAACATTGTACATTACAACTTAAGAAAAGAAGGAACTATTGTTTTTGACAAAGTGCGTCTATTTTCACAGTCGAACACAATTTAACAGCTAAATGAGGATTAGTTTCCTGCCACAGTGCCTGGTACAGCAAACACACTGCCAATGCTAATATATAAAATTTATCAGTATATGGATAATACACAGCCTGGCGACTATGCTTTCACAAGTAAATCAGCAGTTTCTGAACTCCTAAAGTGAGGGAATCAAGAGCGAATAAAATGCATCATTTGTTGTGTGTCAATATAGAATAGAACAGAATGCCTTTATTGTCACTATACACATGTACAATAGATTAAAAGCCACTCCAATAGCAGTGCAAAAAAAAAATATACAGTATAAACAGGACAAAAAGGGAGGTAAGGTGCAGTCCTGAGGAGTGTGTACATATAAATTGCAGAACTGAAACATATCACACCCACCTGAAAAGGTTCACAGAATTTCCAACACTATTTTAAGCTTTGAAACAAACCAAGCAAAAAGATGACTCATGGTTTGGAGATAAATAAAACTGCTGTGCAAAAACCTGATAACAACCAGGGCAGAAATTTGCATGGTGACATTTACAAAAAGGAATTATGTGACTTATCACATGTGGCTCGTCAGCTTTGTAAGTCAGTGATTATTTTTCCTTTATGTTCAAGAGCAACACTACTGATCCTACAACACAGATTACATAGTTATATAATATATACTCGTCTGCTCAAGATTAATGTCTTATCAGTAAAGCCCTAATCACTGACACAAACTGCTAAACAGTGACTATTATTTCTTTAGTTGGTGGAAACCTGGCTGAGATTATGGCTACCACATATTAACATACTACCTAAATCTTCTGGAAACAAAATAAAAACTGTACTGCAAAGTACGTGCACAAGAGATTTGTCTGTTGACTAAACTTGAAAAATATGTGCATACCACAATTACATGCGGCTGGCAGTGACCATACCTGTTCGACGTGCGAGGCGAGGTGGGGGCTGATGTAGCGAACACACCACACAAACGGCCAGTAGTCTCTCTGCTTGTAGTACACCTGCAACGCAAAACCAGCTGTTAGCATGACCCAGATACAGAGAACACCAGCTTCAATAAACACAATGAGTGCGCCCCACTGTTAACCATATCTTAGGAAGTCGACTGATAGTGACTGGTAATACCGGTCTGATCATCGATAAAGCATGAGATTTAACCATTCCTGACGACCTGTAGGTAAGTCAGAAACTTACAGAAACTGAGATGAGTTACATTTACTGGTTTGATTGCAAAACTTTATCGAGGTATCCGAAGTCTTAGCATCTATACCTGCAATCAGATTCACTTCACGTCAACACAACTGTCCTGCACTTCCCACCAAAGCAGAATGTGATGTTACAGGTGTAAAATGGGTAATCTGGTAAAAAAAAAGAGCCAACCGATAACGCAGTATGTCGTCTAATAGTGTGGTATTGTGTGGTGATTCTGGGACACACCTTGAATCAATGAAGGAGTCATTGATTCAAGGTGTGTCCCATGGTCAAACACATGCAGATTTCCAGGTCAAAGTTTAGCAAATGCTAACTTGGACCTGTAAATCTGCCAGATTGAACAAAAACAAATAAACACAGAAAGGGGAGAGCGGCACCGGTCAGATGGCGAGACTTCTGACCTGCTCATTCTTCAGTCCATGGCTCAGGATGTTGTTCATGTCCTTGTGTAGCCGCTGCAGGCCGCCGTAACGTGACCACACGTTGGGGTTGTTGGTGGACAGCAGACCCTCCACTGTGGTCTTCAGGCTGGACAGCAGCTTCCAGTGCTCCCTTCTGTCAGGAAAACACGACAGCAGGAAGCAGTGAGGCATGGTGAGGGAGGAAGTTTAGGAATGAGGAAGGAGGTAAAGAACTGCTGGTGTTAGCAGTGTTGTGGCTTTAAATCATCATCATTCAAATTGAGTCTTCAGCCTTTAAATTACGATCGTCTAGCATTTCCTCTGAGCTCAGTGAGTGAGAGTGCTGATCAACCTATTAGTGACATGTATGATATATAACCATTATCCTTACGAATTCTGCCTAATTAATGAATTCTGTGTGCACATTAAAACTGTACAGTTATGTCCTGAAAGCAAGTAAAGTCTCAATGTTGATAACCTATAGTGAATACCACAAATAATGGTTGACATGGTGCCATTTGGCATCAATTCCCAGAACTAGAAGATGGAAAACCTGCGCTGAGGGAGTTCAACCTTATCTTTAGGATACAGTTATGGAAGGGTGATGATCCAAAAATGTCAGATAGAAAACTAAATGATATCAGGTCACATTCCCTGAGAGACAAAAAGCTCTGTCTCACATCCAGAACTTCCTCATTTCCCCATAAGTCAGCAGTGCAGACTTAAGCACAAGCAATGTGACAAAAAAAGCACCAACAGTTGAGGGTTTATTCTTCAAGTACACGATAACTTAACCGGTCACAGCATACCAAATTATACTTAAGCACGTGCCGTGTACTTAAATGCATTAGAAGCTATAATACTCAGCCCCCAAAATCATCAACAGATCAATTAAAACGAGGGTCCAATAATAAATCGAGGTCACAAAAAGTACAACCAACATAAAGGCTATAAGAGCTAAGAAGAGCACATTTATGAACGCAGGTCTTTTCTCGTGTGAAGCAACAGTGCAGAGCAGCAGCGTCACGAGTTCAGCCACCGAGCTCGCTAATCAAATCACATCATGTAACCTGTACCGAGGGAGAACACGGTCCACATGTTGTAGAGCATGACGCATTCATGCAACAACAATATTGTGGGACACGTGTGGTGTGTGTATTGTGTATGTTGTGTTGGTATGTGTATATGTATATGTGTGTGTTTGTGTATGTGTGTGTGTGTGTGTGTCATCATGGAGTGAAATTCTACAAGGCTCAGAGAGGTTGTCGAGGTTAAGGATTATTTTCTCTCCAGTTTGTTAGTTTACCAGTGTGAATGTGAGATAGATAGATAGATAGATAGATAGATAGATAGACAGATAGATAGATAGTGAGAT